TACTTCCTCAGCTTTCAACATTTCTGTACTTTTCATCCCTGAGGCTAGCCAACTCTTAAAAAGTTTCATGGCCTGTTTACTTCCTCTACTGTTGGTACATCACTTTCGATATCCAAGGTGTCCACATCGTCACTAATTTCAGCTTCTGTTGATAAATATTACTGGTTTAATACTCTTTCAAAGTGATTTTCTTCAAACAAGTGAGCCTTCTGCTATACTGGAGGCCAATTCTTCATCTTGTTTTCGCACTGGTGTATCTGTTCTTTTCAATCCTCCACTCAGAGTTTTTGTGACGCGATATAAGGTACTCATGTCTTGTTTTAAGGCAGCATCTTCTGCATCTTGTGCTTGCTTTTTAAGATAATCCCTCTTTGTCCCTCCGTGCAATTTTCTTTTTTTTTTATCTTGTACTGAATTAAGTTTCTTTAAGCTTGTTTTTAGTCTGGCTGACTTGGCTGTTAGTATTTTCCTCTTCGTTTTGGTCTTTGTTGGACTAATTCCAAGATCTTAGAGGATATTCATTCTTCATTCTTTTTTCCTTTTCAATCCCAGTGTTTTCTTTCCTGCTTCTATAATCGTGGTGTTGCATTGTTCAATATTGTGTTCTTGTTAGGAATGTCAAAATATGTAAAAAAAAAAAAAAAAAAAAAAAAAAAAATTAAAAAAAATTTCCTTAGTCGATTATTCGATTGCATTATTCGAACGTTAGTCGAATATATGCAACATTTTCTTATAATAAAATTTTATTTCAAACTTCAATGGTACATGACGTATTTATAGCCCAAAAGCCAATTTTCTTAAATCTATAAAAAAAAAAAATAATAACATTAATGCAACGTACAACGCGTGAAAAGCATGATCAAATGAAATAAATTTAGACACCTAATTCTCCAAAGTGTATGATTTCACAGTCAATAGAATTCATAAATCAATCTGTACATGCAGTCAGTTTTTATTTTAGCAAGTATTAAAAAATTTTAAAAGCTTCTTATGAAATAATTTTTTTTTTTTTGGGGGGGGGGGGGGAGGGGGGTTAATCTCACAGTATCCAGGCGTCAGATGCCTATAAAACTGTTAAACAGTTATATACTGCTTTAGGCTTATTCAATTATTGATTGCTCTGGCTATCAAAATGTCCTTAAAACAGTTTAAAATGAAAGTGAATTGTTGTAATAATTAATGAAATATCAAAACACAGCTATGGTTTGTTCCTTGCATTTGAGCAATTTCAAAATAACAAAAGATAATTGGTACATGGTATAAGATCAAGTCCAATTAATATTTTTACAAACAAAGCCCAGCATATTGGTGGGTCATTTATTACAAAACAACATAGGCCGTTACCAAAAAAAGTGTGTAGCACTTACATTTACTGTACTTTCTATACGTACATGGAAAATCAACCGTTTTTGTTGAGAAAAATTACCTTATCGACTGTCTCTGAGGAAGGCGGTTTCTCAATTTTATGATGAGAATTCCATCTCGTTTTCACTCTTTTATTGCATTTATTTAATTATAATATTATTCGAATGTCGTTTCATTATTCGATCCTCGGTCCATGTTCGACTAATAGTCGATTAGTCGACTATTCGTTAACATCCCTAGTTCTTGTTTATTTTTTAGGATAGTAAATCTGTTTTTATCCTCTAAATGAAAAGATTTCATGACTGTGGGGTCTTGGAGTTTGCTTAAATCCACTTGAGATGACCGTTTTTCCCTTTGTTTAGCTTTCTCAAATTCAATTTCTTCTTTACTAGGACACTTCTTATATCAGCCTGTCTCAATGCTCTTACATCCTGTTCCTCTCCAAATCCTGTTTATAAATGTAATTTTCAAACATGTTGAAAGCTAGAATCATTGTATTCAAGTTGGAATCGAAGCAAATTCTAATTTATTTTGTCAAAATCCTCGGTCTTTTCTCATGTTTACAACCATAGAGGGCTTCTATTTATTCTTCCAATTTTTCTTTTCTGTTTTTTTTTTTTTTTAACTTTTCTTGAAATGTAATAATTATTGCATTGATTCATTGTATTCATTTGACAATTTTTATTTTCTTTTAAGTAAGGACTTAAGATAATTGGAAAAAAAGTGACAGCTGTCTTGTGAATCATTAAGTATGATAAAATCTCAAAAACTGATTAAAAATCTAATAGATCTATTGAGGAATGCTAGTAAGTAGTGTTTTTGCTCTTTCCGATTTTTTTTTTCATTGAAAAAGTCAGTTATGAACTGGTGCAATGATTTAAGACGAGTTAACACTTTCAGAGCCCTTACTTCACCTAATGAAAGAAACAACTTTTATTTGCATGCGAGAATAATCCGCGAGTTTCTTTCACTTGCAATTTTTTTTCGTTCCGAGAACTTTTTTATTTCATTGTGTACTAATATAGAATTATTTATCAGTCGCGCGATTTCAAACTGAAAAATAGCGAATAAAATCTTTGCGAATACAGAAAGAACGGCGGTGGTTGGGTGGGCACTTTTTTCTAAGAATAGTATTCTGCTATCTGCTATAGTAAATTTTCATTTAGATGCTGAGTCCTGGATTTGGACAGGTTTTTTTTTTTTGGGGGGGGGGGATTCTCAGATTATTTTGGGAAGTGCCCCCTTTCTCCCTCCTCCCCCCCCCCCCTCCACACACACTTTTTGGTTGTTTCCTAAACTGTAGAAACCATTGCTACAGGCCTTGATTAATAATTGGTTTACAGATTGTGTGCAAGAATCCAAAGCATTTTTATTTTCTGAACATGGCAAACAGAATCTGAATCATTGCAACGATTCATGAAAAATAGCAAGTAATAATTTAAGGAATAGTTCACATAATTCTATTTGACATACTTCATTGTAATTATATGTGTTACTGACAGGCTCACTTTTAAGTAGCTGCAGAACTGTAGCTCTCTGGTTGAGATAAATTCGGACGGATAAACCAAAGACCTACAGATCCAAGCATTGTAAAAACCTTCGATTTACGGAGACGCGTTTTGTCGCTCGCTCCGGGTATTACTTCTTATATTATATGCGTTTCCCCGCTTAAATTATGGTATCCGTTAATAAACCATATATTTTACTCCTATTCCTGATACTTTATTTACCTTTCAAGGTGCGTTATTCAAGCAATACTCAAACATGGACGTCGAATGAATTTTTTTTTAAAGAGGACATTCAAAGTCCATTTTAATAGGGTTGTTTGTAACCGTTAAAAGGCAAATAAAGTATCAGAAATAGAAGTAAAGAATATATTTAATTAAAGGATATCATGGTTTAGGAATTGCATATAAAAAAACGTAAGCGAGCAACAAAAAAGTGTCGCCGTAAATCGAAGGTTTTTGCAATGCTTAAATCTGTAGCTCTCTGGTTTGTCTGCCCGAATTTTCTCAACCAGAAAACTACAGTTCTGCAGCTGACGTTTAAGCAAATATTCTTGAAAATCTCATTAAAAGATTCATATTGATAAAAATAGATACGAAAACACCAGGCGGAATAGCAATTTTTTATCCAGATTTGAAGGCAACAAGCGATTTGTTGTACCAGAGAACCTAGCCGTTTTCCTAAGGCCGTAAACCCAAAGGCAATGGTTTAGTTTGAGGGTTCAGCCAATTGCGTTTTGTTCCAGAGCTCAGTAAATATACATGTACGAGGGTTGTTAGAAAAGTTCAAAGACACATTGATTTACGGAAGAATTTATTGAGTACTTTGAAGAATGACATATGTCTGATTATATTCTTATCTTTTGATTATTAGTATGTGAGAAACCAGGTCTATGAAATATATGGAAATAACGAATAGTATTCAAGCAAAAAAGTCCATTAAACAATACAAATAGGAGCAGAGCAAACACCAGAGGTGGGATCAGGTGCCATTAAAATTACTTATTAAAATTTTGAAAAAATACAATGATTTTTACTGTGCGGTCATAGGATTCATGGAGCAATCATATGGTGTTAGGTGACGTGACAACCTGATTCCAAACCTGTTACATGTAAGCTTTTTCACAGTTCTAAATCTCTTTCAGTTCTAGAGACTTTTCATGTCTTTTTCCTATTTAAAAATTGCATATTAACTAAAGCAAGATATGTTACATTTTACTAAAATGTCTTGTGGCGTATCGGAAATAAGTGAGATCTTAAATATCATGTCTACGCAGTTAAGCGATCTATGGAAACAATACAAAATCCATAAGCGCAACGTCCAAGCGATAAGCGGGGTATTGGAGTATCGCAGAAGTTGATCACCAAAATGCCAATCCTTCCATTCTTACAAAACCACTACCATTTGAACGCTGTGGTTCTACATGTAGATACGTGTAGAAAGTCCCCAGCAGCACCCAAAAACATTTTAGTCTCCTTCGTACATTTTCATGCATGTAGAAATAATTTTTTCTATTAGCTCGGTGCTCCAAGACGTTAAATGACGTTGCTATTTTTGACTTTGTTTTTACGCATTGATCAACCATAATTAGCGATAAAACAGTCAAACTTTCTTCAATTCATTTCAAAATTTCGCCAAATGACGTTTCATGAATATTGTTTCGACAGGCGCTACAACATTGCAATTTTTATTTTTCGCAAAAAAAATTGTATAATATAAATGTGCGAAAAAGTGACATGCTCTGTGAAGCATGCTTTATCTAAATAATATACGTGTAAAGTTTTAAAGATCATCGAGAAAAAACAAATTTTGCATATTTTTTGGAAAATACGTATAGTTTTTGTCTACAGAGTTTCACCGGTTTCACTATAGAACTTGTCCGCGAACTTTTCTAACAAACATAGTATGTTTTGTTGTACATGTACCTTTAAAAAATATTTTCAATACAATTTTGCACTGACTAACATTGTACATGTCAAAAGTTAATTATAAATTTTCTCTTTAACATCAATGTTGATTTTACCTGGTTAAACATTTTCTCAGTTTAAATTTATAAAACATTTTTTTTAAATGATAATAATTTTCTGTAGCACACTTTATGTTAACCTTTCAGATATTAAACATATATCATGTCGTACATGTATGCTTTCTGTACGAATCAGGAACCGTCCTCCCACCACACTGCCCACGGGTATACCAGAAATAAATGTCTGAGTAAGGTTAATATCTAGCCAAGCAAGTATTTATTCTCATGAATAATTCGATATATCATATTACCCCTGACAGTATTCCTAATAAGCAGACCTAAGCGGGTCGTGATGAAAAACATGCCGTCTTTTTGTTTTCTTTTTTGTTTGATGTTAATTCCATATACAGCTGGGCATTGTAACAATGATACCGATTGTGGTGAAAATGCCCAGTGTATTACACGTGAAGTCCCCCCGCCAGACGGATCTGGTGATCCTCCCACGATTATGCAGTGTGAATGTTCGGAAGGTTTTTTTGATTTCCCCCCAGAGAAAACTGCCAAAGAGGACGGATGTTTAGGTGAGCAAAACTTTTTTTTGGGGGGGGGGTGTTTTTGTTTGTTTGTTTGTTTGTTTGTTTTTTCCCCTAAGATTCGTGCTTTTATATCAACTCTACTCAATATCGCATTATATTATTCTTCTTACAATTTATTTTAAGATGGGAATATATATCATGAGTTTTCCTTTATTTCAATCCTAGATTTCATGTTTTCAAGATAATCTTCGTGTTTTTAGATGCAAGTTATTTTCGTGTATTATATCCCAGATAGTTCATGGCCACTGTCCATATTATCTATCTGTATTATATACATGTTATAGTATATGAAATCATTTTACATTGTTAATGATATTTTATTAATAAATTAAGAAGTGCACCTTGAAAATTTTCAGGCGAGTGTAACGATCTCGGACAAACTGACCAGTGCCCAGGGAACACAGAATGTGTTGAGTCATCTTCAGGTTTTGGAGAATGCGAGTGTCCAGTTGGTACTGAGGGGGAACCTGAATGCCCTGGTATATATAAAAATAATCAAGTTAGGTTTGAACAATAACTGTATGTTTAATGACTCTTTTATTTTACTGTAAAATCACTTATTTCTTCGGTGCAAATTTTCACGGTTTGAGGGGAAAATTGGTTCGGGAGGATTTGATTTCGTGCTTGAAGAAGTGTAGCATTGTCTTTTTTTGACAATTTTAACACTTCGTGGAGTACAAGAATTCATTTTTTTTATACCACGAAAACAACTAAAATCAAACCCCATAAAAATTTGTTATTTCGCAGTATTTCATATTGAAAAGGTGTACTGAGGTAAATATTGGTTCTTAGGAAATTAATACTTTCTGAACAACCCTGTGCCAATATTGATATCCTATCCCCGATAAACTGCCTAGTCGAATGATGGTGATTTATATATAGGCCTACTGATCAATTGATGGACTAAAAATTGTAGCAGTGTTGCTACCTCAACTAAAAGAACTCATGTCAATATATTTTAGTAAAAGAACTCATGTCAGCATATTTTAGTATATATTAAATTGATTATTACAATGTTTAGCCAAGAAAAAAAAATCAGTCTCTGCTTCTTCAGAACCAAAGAGTTCAATCAAGTTATTAAACAAAGAATGACATTTCGAACAAAACATTCTAAGGAAAAAATTTCTCAAAATTGAAAATATTGTATATTTTTCCTAAACATATAATTTTGATTTGTTTTCGTTCACAGTTATCACAACGGTAACTACGACCCTCCCCACTACCACCACCACCACCACCACAGAGAATCCTGTCAGGAGGAGAGTGTTGCCGATCCTGCTGTCTAGTGTTTCTCTTGTTCCATTGCTGTTGATTTTGCCTGCTTTTGCCAGCCTTGGTTAGCTAGCAAAAATTGAACGTTAATAACACAGAAAAAGTATGAATAAAACATCAATTGAATTATATGTTGAGGGTGATTGATGAAGGTGAAAAGTACTTGATTCATTCAAAAAAAAATTGATTCATTTGAAAACATATTGGACTTTGACAAAACAGAATTTCTATTAAGTGTTTGTATGTCAGCCATTATAGTATCATTTAATGTTGTTTTGCCAAATTCATGTGAGCTTATTCTCTCCAAATCTTTATTTCATTTGATAAATAATTTTTTTAATGTATTATAGGTGATATACCAAAAATGTCAAATCGGTACCACAAGTTTTAATCAAATTTCGTCTAAAATCAATTAAATTAGGAAAGAGCAGGACAACGAATGGTTGTAAAGATCATACGACAGATGAACTTACCAACTTCAATAATAAATGTGTTTATATTAATGCAATAAGTATTTTGATAGCACAATTACCCATTAAATTGCTTATTTATTTCCATAATCCTCTCATCACTAGAACACCATATCTCATCCTCCTTCAATGAATAAAAAGTCTGTAAAACAGTTTGTCGTGTGTTGCCACCTTTGTGACGTTTAATAATTTGCTTGAAATTCTCAAAAGTATTATTAACAATGGCATATAATTTTAGCTGACACAAAATATAAATATGAGAAATAAACCAATTTTGTAAAGGGAGATAATCCAAATTTCCAGTAATTACAACTTAGACTTAACAGAAAAATCACGAAAATGGGTCTGAAAACCTCGCCTCAAGCAATCTGAAAAAACGTTAAGCAAAATAACATCAGACCGGTCGACATTTAGCAAGTATGAGGAAGTCCCTCATGGAGCGTGCTTTGCTTATCACAAAGCTGAAAAGTATTGTAGGCTAGGTGCTACATGCAATCCCGATTTCTTACCTGCATTTTCTACAGGTGGGAATTCAGTACCCACAATCTGTGAACTGTGTTCGGCTACAACATTTGATACCAAACCTGAAATACCTGCACCCCCTGACTTATTCATTGTGTGACCATCCAACCCAGGAGGGCTTGCTGTTAAGCTGTTGGTTGCAGAGGTGGTAACATTATTACCCCCTTTTACCCCCCATATTATGAACAGAGATACTCCCCTGATGTTGTAGCAATGGTTTTATCTCTACTAACACGTTGTCTGTGACTGACTTTGTTATGGTTTGGGTTAATTCAGCTAAGGTTTCAGGAGGTACACTGAGGGGTGGAGTGCTGGTATCGCTTGCCACAGTATCAGTGGTGGTGGGCCCTCCTGTTTCCTTTTGGCCACGACGTGGTCTTTTCGCCTCACTTGTTTTGGGCTGCTGGGATTTATTCCTTTTTCCTGGCATAATGTTGGTAAACCTATAGAATTGTAAAATTGAGGCAGAAGTATATTTCCAATATTTAACATAATATAGGCAGCTGATAGGCCTAAATGTCAATTGACCGGAACTGCACGAGTCAGATCAGATACACCAGTACCATGACCACGCATTTGAGCATGTTAATACTTAAAATTACATTATATAAACACTTGAATGCATCGAATACAAAGTAATATATGCCTAAATGTCAATATCCTATTAAACAAACGAGAAAGTTGTATATCCTGAGACTGTTTCCAACAGTCACTTTCCGTTAAATTACACCCTGTACCAATATACAGTTGATGACAAAATTCATCCCGGAAATGTCACACTAAAGAATAGAACCAATATTGTTCTGAAACAGACAAACATTTCCCGCACTACTGTATAGCAAATCACACCACCCATTGTGCGACTGCAGAAGCCATTTATCAACTTCTCTGGAACCGCTGCTGGTCAGTAAGAACTAACAGCCACATAAAACAGAACGCTGACATCAGTAATAAATCATCACTTTTGAAGTCGATTCACCTCGTGCCGTGTCAAATTCCAAAGTAGGCTGTAGTGCCTTTACCAAAGACAACTATGCATTGTTAATTGTTTCTCAAGCAAGCAATAAAACTGATCATGGTGGTCCTAAAATAATCGAAGCAGATTTAATTCACAAAGAAACGCCGTCCAAACACTCAAAATAATATTTTTATATAAAGCATCTATAAGCAATAAACCTAAATGTATTTTTTTTTAACCCTAATTGGAAACGAGTGATAGGCATATTTTACGATAAATCTAAGAATAAAAAACCGTGAATCATTGATGGAACAAAAACATGTGCATGATATATTATAAATGTAAAAAGGGGACAGCGAGTACAGAACGGAATTTAAGTAACCAACAAATACCGCAACAAACAAATTGGCAAACATTCATTTTACGAACGATTTCTTCACAGAAAAAAGGATAAATAAGGAACTAAAACGAAAACCCAAGCGGGTACAAAATGGCAAGTACAATGACTGCCTGAGACTTGTACTTAGGCCTTGCCTAGAGTACTGTAAAATTAAACAATTTTAGTAATCAACTAATACCGTACAAACAAATTGGCAGACATTTCTCCAACGATTTTCCTTCACAGAAAAAAGGATAAATCCGGAACGCATTAAATAAAATACATTCCTAGATAAATCAAATAAAATCGATAGAAAAATCGCCAGGGTAAAAGCTGAAACTAAAACGAAAAAACCCAAGCGGGTACAAAATGGCAAGTACAAAAGACTGTCTGAAACTTGTACTTAGGCCTTGCCTAGAGTACTGTAAAAATTCACAATATTTTAGTAGTCAACTAATACCGTAACAAACAAATATTGGAGACATTTCTCCAACGATTTTCCTTACATAAAAAAGGATAAATGTAAAACGCATTAATTAAAATACATTTCTAGATAAATCAAATAAAATCGATGGAAAAATCGCCAGGGTAAAAGTTGAAACTAAACTGAAACAACCCAAACGGGTTTAAACTGGCAAGCACATTGAATGCCTGAAACACATACCTAGGTCATGCCTATAGTACTGTAAAAGTCACAAATCTTTTAATAATGAATTTCACACATTAAGGTTGAAATTAAAATGAAAAAGGACAATGATTGGCAAGCCAATATCTGATAAGCAGAGTTCATTTTTTTTAATATATAATTATTTACAAAAACTGAAAAATTTAATTATGTTACATGTACCATATCCAAATAATTTTGAACAAAGGAAAAAAAATGACAATCTTGTTCCATTTTCTAGAAAATCTATATTCTCATGAAATTAATGCTCCCCTTATACTCCTATATAACTGTACATTCCCTTGTTTGTTCAGATGAACTCCGTCGCATACAAATTTCCGACTACAATCTCCTTCACTGGGAGAAACAAAATAATTCCCGTGTTCCCAAAACACACAATAACCTAGTGATGGCAATGCACCTCTCAATTTTGCATTCACTCTGTCTGCTACATCAATGTACCCAAAATTAACCTTAAATCTTGGCAGTAATTTGCAAACAATTATTTTCGCAACATTATAGCGGCGATGCATCACCGATACCACAGTTTCAATTTCTGCGGCCAACAATGTAGGATCTGTACTGGGAACGATGTCGTTCTCCCCGATCATTAAAACAACTACCTCGGGACCTAAAGCAAATACACTCTCCATATCCTTATATATTATATCACGAACCTTCCTTCCACCCCTGTACAAAACGGAATGCGTTTTTCCCAGACCAAGATTTGCAGAATATCTAATGTCATCACCATGTTTCAAGAATTCGTGAAAACGACGCACAATTGAATGACCAAGAATGACAACCGAAGTTTTGCACATTGAAGACATGATAAAATAATTTTACTCACCAAATACTTGATAAAATAAATAACAAACTTGAAAAACGTCCGTCCTCCAAGGCTGTAGGTGGGAGAAGAGGCAGAGTGACGCACCGCGTGGCCGAAATGTTAAATGTTTGATTTTGATTGGTCAATCTCTGCCTCTCCTAAGACAGGAAACAAAATGACCATTATAATACATCACTATACAATATATCAGACTTGAACATTCAAAGAGGACACTTATTGATTACAATAAAAAATTTTAAGTAAACTTAAATTTATTTATGCCACAAGGATGTTTCCTTTACCTTTATTAAGTGATGTCAAATAAACTTAGGTAGATCAAAACAAGGATACTAATTAAGAAACATGTACATGTAAACACTAAAAGGAATATCTTTATAAGGAATAATTATTAATTAATCTATGTAACAAACCAAATTGTTTGTTTGTTTGTTGTTTAACGTCCCTCTGAGAATTTTTCACTCATGTGGAGAGACCACCACTTAATTGCCGGTAGAGAGCTGAAAATTTTGACCTCTACCACTGCGCTACACGGGCAACCAAACCAAATTGTAAAAACAAAATGTTATGAACTGGACTTCACTCTATTCCTTGGATATTTCGATTCCCTTTTGTATTCTAAAAGGTGTTGTGGCTAACGTATTGCTATTTATGATGGTCGAAATCCAATGAAAACAAACAAGTAGATAGAATCATGCCATGTTTTAATAGTCAAACTTTACATTATTGGAATAAAAAATATGCATCTTCATAGCATTATTATATATAGCAATCAGTATTGATATAAAACACTAAGTCTTTTGAAGTACATGTATATCAAAATACTACTAAATAATATATATAATGCCTCTTATACTTAGCATTCACCAAAATATTTTGACTATGCAAAATTTTGTCACAAAATGTGATGCCATAAAAAATAATATAAAAGTTTTTGATAATAATATTTGCTAAGTAGTAGTTTTAAGATTAATTTTTAAAAAAATTCTTAAAACAGAAAGATAAATACAAACAGATGCAAACAGATGTGCTTGTAAAATATTAATGACCCGCATGGCAGTTAATGGCCGAATGAAAGTTTTTCAGAGGTAGGTCAAACTCCAAGGTCAAGGTCATGAGGTCAAAAACAAAGTGCCAAAGAAAGGTCTTTCCAAAAGAATAACACCTGTGAAATACCAAAACCCTAAAACCGAACGTAAGATGTTATTATAACTTATAAAGAAAATATGTGAAATATAAAAGCCCCAAATCCAA